ACTGGCTGCACGGCATGCTCGTCAATTGGCCGCTTTTTGTCCACGCTGATCTTCACACCGTTGGGCAGCTCTTCCCACTCCACGTCTTCTTCTGTCACCCCGGGGCACTCAATGCGGATGATTCGGCTGCTGCCATGTGTGGTGGGCCGGTCATAGACGTTCACGATGGGATCGAAGCTGACATCGTGAGCAATAATCTCGCCCAAAGGAGAGATCACTCCGCGGGTCTTCATGGCCACACGGGCCCCCTCCTGCGCGAGATTGACTCGCAGGACGCCCACACAGCTGTACCCCGCCTTGAGGCACTCGTCTGCAGTAGGCCCCTTTGCATCGCAGAACTCCACGCCGATAGCCTGGTCGGGGCTGCACACGGAGCTCTCCGGGCACTTCGCCTCGATGTTGACGAAGCGTGGCAGAAGCCGAGCGAGCTCTGCCTTCAAGATGTCTGCCAGGACGAGCTCCGAACCGAGGCTGTTGCGATGTTCCAGGCTCTGCAGCAGGTGCTGCCGGTTCTTCTCGTTGAAAGCATCGCCTGCTTTGGAGAACTCGTAGCAGAGGCCGACGTGGTGCAGAGGCGGGGCACCCGTTCCGGCATCCTGAGTGAAGATGAGTTCCCCCAAGTGGGATTGCTGGCCATCGTAGCAGCGCGTAACCTGGCGGCTGAACAGCTTGCAGGCTTCTTGGATGTCCGTGGTGTTCCTCAAGTTGTGCACCACGACGAGCTCCTTCTGATGCCCACCCTGCACGTACTTCTGGTGCAGCATCGCCACGTACTTTTGCTCGAACCAGGTCAGGTCGTTGACCACGAAGATCATGTGGTGCGCGATGCGCGAGATCATCTCGAACATGAGGGATTCGGTGGTCTGCGCATCCAGGATCGCATCCTGAACGGCCTGGGCACGGTAGGAGACCGTGGACTGCACTCCCGCAGAGTCCAAGACCAGCATCCGACGCTCCTCAATCCACAGGAAGCTCAACCCCTTGGTGGTGTGGAGCTTGCCGGACGGTAAGTTCACCCCGAAGAGCTTGTTGATCAGGAAGGTCTTGCCCTTGTCAAAGAGGCCAACCACCGCCACGATGCGGAAGCGCATGGCGCTCGCCACCTGCAGCTTCGACTCCGCATGCTGCAAGAAGCGGATCTCCCCGGTCGACAAGAACTGCGACAGCGACTCGAAAGCCAGGATGGCGTCATAGGGAGTACTCTGCGCCTGCACCATCTTGCTGTGCCAACGGCGCTGCAGGCGTCGCTGGTATAGGCGCCATGCCAGCTGTAGGCACAGGGCCGCCGTCAGCTCTCGAGAATGGCGGCGGCGCCGCTGCTCCTCCGCCCGGCGATGCGCCTCCCGTCGCCGGGTCTGAAACCCACGCCACCAGGCCTGGATTGTGGTGGCTGCTTCTGAGAACTTGCGGCACCGGACTTCAGCTTCCTCTGCAAACACCTTGGCATCCTTGCCGTCAATGTGCCTGAATCGGGCACGGACTTCAAGCGGATCTGTAAAGTCAGGAACCATGCAGAAGTCAGAAAATTCCCAGTCCTTAAACGTCTTTGTCTCAATCTGCTTCAGCACCCTTTGTGTGATGTCAAGATGGCGACTCGTCCCAGCCACGTCCAAGTCCAAATCCATGGTGGTCGACTGCGGCCGGATGCACAAGCTGGAGAAACCTTCGCTTGCAAAGTTGGACCCACGGGGATAGAGAACTAGCTGAAAGCGGTGCCCCCAAAGCTGCAGCTCCTGGCTGGAAAGCTGCTCTCCTTTCTTCTTATCCGCGACATGTGCTGCTTCGAGGCGCCAGGTGACCTGACAAGCGAGAGGACAGAATTGCGAGACAAAATCAATAGACGTGCCGCGGACACTTGATTCACCAACTTTTTGCAACTTCCGGCCTCAAGCTTGCAAGGGTTCACCTCCACCACCCCACGTTCCGTCATATTGAGCGAACAGCACTCCACAGGCCACAGGATGGCAACAAATTCCAAGCCACAAGCTGCGAGGCCACGACAAGTGAAAGTTCAAACCAGATGTGGCAAGATGCCTCTGAGTATAGTCGTCGAAGGAGTGTCAATGCCGTGTAAGCATGACGCCTTCATGGACTCAAGCCTTGCACCTTGTACTCCGAGGCAGCAGACATCCGAAACCTGCGTCCAACACAACTGCAGGCAGTGAACTCCAACCTCATATCTCCTCTCCTAATCCTTGAATCCCACGTTCCGATCTAAACCTCCAGGATCACATTTGCACACTCCCCAGACCGGGCACCTATCTGCACTGGCATCTTGCAGGTGTTGGACAAAACCATGTGCTCACGGCTGGCACCGTCCTTGTCATGCATCATTCGCCGTCGCTTCATGTTTTGTAAGGAGGTGTCGGTTGGTCTGGTTGGACAAAGTCTCTTTTTGCTCTGATGATGAAACAGAGGCCGAATCGAGACCTAACTTTGGTAAGACCCGCATTCCATCTACTGCCACATCAATATCTTCGGAAAAGCCCATGGCCCCAGACTCTCAAAGCTCGGCCATTCCAACCCTGAGCCCTTAAGTTTGCCTTAAATCACAGATCCCCAAAGGACTTGGGGTTCTGGCCTTGCCTGAGTTGCTCAGAAATGCATGCATATGCATCCTGCTGGAAGTCTGTATGTCTTCTACTTGAGATCAAAGGCTCATGTCTGATACAGTTCCGGCTGAAGGGACGTGCTTTGAATGATCGCGTAGCCGTGTTTCAGACCAAGTTTTGCTTTTCTGAGGCTGAGCTATAGTGAAGGTGTAACCAGATGTTGTATCCCTCTCAGTTGGTGGCAATTGCAGACCATTCTGCTGCTCGACAAAACATCACCAACTGCTTGTTTGTTGGGTGAAAATTCTTGATTCTGTGATGGTGGAATCGAATACTTGGTTGCTGGACGTCAATCCTCAGCCTCAAACCTGAAAGTGTGGGTAATATAGGGGCCATACCAATTTGAATGAGATTTTGGGGTACACTCGGCCTTGCTTCGGTTTTAGGGACTATATGTGTGGCGATAACTACTGTTATTCGGGCCATGTATTGCTTGATCTCAAGCCTGAACTAAACCGCTCAATCCTTCGCTCATAGCCCTTCGCACTGCAGCTTCAGAGCCAGATCCTGGAGCCATCACTCACCGAAGGTTCTTCTGAACCCTGAAACACATAGGATCGCCTGCAGCTTTCTGATTCAACGCCTATATCTTCAGTTACTGAGAAGGACTCTGCGTCAGACTGTCAAGCCTTGAAGCCGAATCCTACACCCCAAAATTTAAACTGCAAGCCCACATACCCTGAACCCCCTATACCCTCATCATCTAGTCCATTCCCGGCACCGATGTTACCTGTTGCGTCCACGTCGCCCTGGAAACCAGAAGTCGAAGAGCCTGCCATGAATCATCTGGCAAGCTAGCTTGCTAGTTCTCTAAAAGATCCCTGGTAATCTTGTAAGTTATCCATTATTACAGCGGCATAATTGTCGGCAAACAAGTGAGCTAGCGAGCTACCCATCTGGATGTGTAAAGAGATAGGCTTGAATTGTAGAGTTATGTAAGGTTTCAGCGCTATTCGTGTCTCTTTTGAGGATCTTTCTGTGATTTCGCTGGGTACTATACTCTGAAATACTGATATCCTCATTCGAGATTGTCCTGTACGTTCAAAACCTATTAAACAAAAACCTAAGCACAACAATCCTCCAGTCGTCAACACGAAGCCATTAAGCCACGAAATCCCAAATCGTATCCCGACCGCCCTAGCTTCCTTCGCCGTCCCTATACCCGACACCGAAACCGTAAATCTTCCTCCCGCAACCCCTTGATGCTTTCAGCTCCGGCTTTACAGAGAATTGTTGTGAGTTTGACTAGGTGGGATCAGGCCCTGAAGAAGAAATCTCGAAACCCCTGCTCTGTGTGCGGCGCTCAGGGTTCAAGGTCTTAAGGGCCTGCTTGCTTCAGGGTGTCAGGGTTCAAAGGGGCTTGAGAAGTTGAAGGTCAAAACAAGGGTGATCGGGTGTCCATATCTGAGTGGTACATCCGACTTACAAGCAAACATGCTGACTAATCCAACGGCGTCCTCCAAGTGTCTCAGTAAAACTATTGAAAGCTGGCTAGGGCTTAGGGAACCCCCCCAAACACCTTTCTTGTTCCCGGGTTTTGAAAGCCAAAGCAACCCAAATGTAGACCGCTCAACAAAAGGCTTTCGGGCTCCCTGAATAGAGCTTCAGGCCAATGTCGCTGAAGCCGCGGTCAGCGTCTGCGCCCCATCGCACGCCAGCAGAGGAGTCCTTCAGGAAACAATCTGCCTAGGGTCCGAGACCCCAACATCTAACCTCCTTGTTCAGTTCTCGGCCTGAGTCTAAAACCGTATGCATGGAAACCGGTTGAACCGAACACGCAACTACATTGGTACGTTGGAGAGTGTAAGCTTCGAATTGTGTCTTGGTTGTCTGCTGCCCTGTAAGAAGGGACTCGGAGCAGAGGGCCGAACCTGTGCTTGAGGTACGTACAGGGCTGTTTCTGTATATGTGTGCTAAGTCTCATTATATTATGTATATAATAGAACGACGCTCCACATGTCGACGGCAGGATTCGACACGCAACGTGTTGGCACCTGGACGGAATTGGCGCTGCCTAACCACACAGTGATTCAAGCTAAGCTCGATGTGAAGCGTCCGACGACCCGAAATTGGAAAGCAAGACAAACTGAAACATCACAGGAAACTCCGCAGAAGACTGACAGGAGCTAATGCGATCGGTTGACATCGCCAGCTCATACAAGCAATGCTTATCCAAAGCTTTTTCAAAAAGACCTTATCCCTCAAACTGTGAAGCCAGCAGGGCTGCCCCTATGTCAAGCGTACATCGCTTCACAGCTCTTCGGGGCAACATCCCGAAGCCAAGCTAAGTCCCACTCTGGGAGCAGGTCTTGGGTTTGTAAAGGTCTGTAAGCTTTCCCTTGACGTTTAGGCAACCGATCTAAACTTGCAGGATCGATGGCAGCGGAGCTCAATGTCTGTTTGCTGCAGGCAGGGATTTCAACTACACTGCACCTTGAACGGGAGCCTCAGCCTCAACCTGCTTGAGGGCTGCATGTCTGTGGTTGTCGACTATGATAGTACAAATATACCCATTCTTGAGGTACTTAATGACTTTAACATGGACACCTTCCTCCCCTGGTTGCTCTTGCTAACATGACTTCACAGACCCGTCTGTTTGAGTGGCCTGCTACGCTAAGGAGTATGGCATCAAGGGAGCCTCGCCAGAGACCGAATGGAGTCCCCATTGACGATGGACCCAACTAGCTTTCCAAGACCAGCATGCCCGAAAGATATCCACGCACAGGCATGCGGGAAATCAAGCTTGATGTGCTCGCTGAGTTGGGGCCCCACATACCTTTTCCCTGCAACCATCGAACTCCACTATGCCAATGAAATGCTGAAAATGCTAAGTCACATCCTGAAACACTCTGCCCTGGAAATGCTGTGTCAATCCCCGATGTCCGAAAAGCCTGACCCCCGCAAACCCCCACAGGAAACCTTACAGACGCGGAGCCGAAAACCTCCCACAAACAGCCCAACGTACAGGAAGCCTGCTCCCGTGCAAAGGGTTTTCCAAGTTAAATGTCAAGGTCTAGGCTTCGCTAGTCGTGTCTAGTCTGGGTCCCCACTTACTGTGCATACTCCCATCGTTCTTTCGAGTACCGAGGCTGGTAATCGAGGCTAGTACTGAGTGAAACAGAAGACCTGATGAGTCGCATTCTGCTGCCGGCATTGTCATGACATGGCAAACTGACAACGGCGATTATTAGTATGAATGAAGGCACGGCTCTCCCCAGGTCCTAACCTTTCGCTGAGGTACTGCACTGACCGAATACCGTGAACCCGTGGTCAGGCTGGCCTTGTCTGGATGCATCCGGCCTCCGTTTGTGACTTCTGCCTCCCGGCAGCACTTGCCAGGCTTCGGTGTCTAGACATCATGGTTGAAAGAGTTTTGGGTTTTGGGGTTAGGGAACTTTAGGTTTAGGTTTCAAGGGCTGACGGCTGAAGGTTTGAGGATAGCTGCCGAGTCTGAATCCTCAGCTTGGGATCCGTGTGCATACTGTTCCAAAGTAGGGAATGAACAACGGTCTTTGGAACAACAATGTTGATAAAACATAACCAAACGGGGGGCGGGCATGCGGCCGGGAAAGAGGCCAACATGAAGAGTTTCGGGCTATATAAACGATGCAATGTTGTCCAACGACCATACCCGATCATGATATCTGTTGATGATTTAGTGATTCTATGCTATCATATGGGGTTGCCATGGCAAGAGTGGGCAAAGTGGCGTACCTTCACGAAACCAGCCAGGACATTGAGGAAGATGCTGCGCCAAAGCAGAACCTCCACACAAAGGGCAATCGAGCAGTGCGACATCCCGTTGCGTTTGCTGATTCTTTATGGCCTTGATATTCTGCCAGCATGCATGGACCTGACTCGCGCAGTGATGTTGATCGAGCACCCATCTCTATCGCATCTGTTTCCTCGAGAATTATCAGCATCATGCGGCCGACCCTGAACGGATGTGTGTTAATGGAACAGAACACACATTGAAGGCCGGCTGCCTGGCTACGTTTGTGTGCTGGCAGCTACTAGCATGTGCAGAGGCAGGGTGGATGCCAGCGGCTTCTGCATGGCAGTCCCACACCGTCGCAAGCCCCCAAGGCTAACTCTGCGACGAATCTGCTTGAATCCTCAAGATTTGCCAGGACTGGAACTGAATACATCATGTATCACTAATTTTGAATTTTGCATGGGCCAACCATACAGTGGCTGTGCCGCTTGGAAGAGTGAGCCCGTGCACATTCACTCATGCTCCGGCAGCAGTGACGAGCGAAAAGGAGCTGCACGACGGGACTGGAGAAGGAGTCTCAGCATCTGCGTGAGGGGCGACCAGGTGGCTGCAACCTTTGTCACCAGCTTGCCCAAACTTGCCGCGACGCGGCTGCGCGGCCTTCTTGAGCACCACTGTGAGCACCCCGTTCTCGAATGTGGCCTCTTCCGGACTAAGCTCGAAGCGGCCTTCGGAGTAGTCGAAGGAGAACTCCTGCTCCCACACACCATGGTGCTGGCGGATAGGCTGCACTGGCTGCACGGCATGCTCGTCAATTGGCCGCTTTTTGTCCACGCTGATCTTCACACCGTTGGGCAGCTCTTCCCACTCCACGTCTTCTTCTGTCACCCCGGGGCACTCAATGCGGATGATTCGGCTGGTGCCATGTGTGGTGGTCCGGTCATAGACGTTCACGATGGGATCGAAGCTGACATCGTGAGCGATGATCTCGCCCAAAAGAGAAATCACTCCGCGGGTCTTCATGGCCACACGGGCCCCCTCCTGCGCGAGATTCATTCGCAGGACGCCCACACACTTGTACCCCGCCATGAGGCACTCGTCTGGAGTAGGCTCCCTTGCATCGGAGAACTCCACGCCGATGGCCTGGTCGGGGCTGCACACGGAGCTCTCCGGGCACTTCGCCTCGATGTTGACGAAGCGCGGCAGGAGCCGAGCGAGCTCTGCCGTCAAGATGTTTGCGAGGACGAGCTCCGACCCGAGGCTGTTGCGATGCTCCAAGCTCTGCAACAGGTGCTGCCGGTTCTTCTCGTTGAAAGCATCACCCGCCTTGGAGAACTCGTAGCAGAGCCCGATGTGGTGCAAAGGCGGGGCACCCGCTCCGGCATCCTGTGTAAAGATGAGCTCGCCCAGGTGGGATTGCTCGCCATCGTAGCAGCGTGTCACCTGGCGGCTCAACAGCTTGCAGGCCTCTTGGACCTCTGTGGTGTTCCTCAGGTTGTGCACCACGACAAGCTCCTTTTGCTGCCCGCCCTGCACGTACTTCTGGTGCAGCATGGCCACGTACTTTTGCTCGAACCAGGTCAGGTCGTTGACCACGAAGATCATGTGGTGCGCGATGCGCGAGATCATCTCGAACATCAGGGATTCGGTGGTCTGCGCATCCAGGATCGCATCCTGAACGGCCTGGGCACGGTAGGAGACCGTGGACTGCACTCCCGCAGAGTCCAAGACCAGCATCCGACGCTCCTCGATCCACAGGAAGCTCAATCCCTTGGTGGTGTGGAGCTTGCCGGACGGTAGATTCACCCCGAAGAGCTTGTTGATCAGGAAGGTCTTGCCCTTGTCAAAGAGGCCAACCACCGCCACGATGCGGAAGCGCGCGGCGCTCGCCACCTGCAGCTTCGACTCCGCGTGCTGCAGGAATCGAATCTCCCCGGTCGACAGGAACTGCGACAAGGACTCGAAGGCCAGGATGGCATCGTACGGAGCGCTCTGGGCCTGCAACATCTTGCTGTGCCAACGGCGCTGCAGCCGTCGCTGATATAGGCGCCACGCCAGCTGCAGGCGCAGGGCCGCCGTCAGCTCTCGGGATTGGCGGCGGCGCCGTTGCTCCTCAGCCCGGCGAAGCTCCTCCCGTCGCCGGGTTTGAAACCCACGCCACAGGGCCTGGATTTTGATGGTCTCTGTGGGCTTGCGGCGAAGGACTTCAGCTTCCTCGGACAACAGCTTGGCATCCTTGCCCTCGATGTGGTTGAAGTGGACACGTACTTCAATTGGATTTGTCAGGTCGGAGACTCTGCAGAACTTTGGCCATCCCCAGGAACCGGTTCCATTCCTGGTAGACTTCAACAACATCTCTTCTGTGACGTCAGCACGCTGAGTCATTCCAGCCAGGTGAATGTCAATGAGTGCCTCGACGGCCACATACATAAACACGCTGAAGTAGCCTTCGCTTTCTGCATCGTACCCATGGGGAAAGACTTCTATGCGAAAGCTGTGTCTCCAAAGCTGCAGCTGGGGGCTGAGAATCCTCTCTCCATTCAAGGTGTCTGCGACGTCCGATGCCTCGAGGCGCCAGGTGGCCTGACAGAAACGGCAAGGGTAATACAGAAGAAAGGAACACTGAATTCACCAGCTTGTTGAAACTCCCGACCTCGAGCTTGACAGGGTCGACCTCGACGATCGCCCCGCGCTGGGCCATGCTGGGAAGACTGCACCCGCAAGCCACACCGGTTTGCAGCAATTTCCGAGCCACAAGCTGCGAGGCCACAACAGGTGAACGCGCAAACACTTGTGGCAAACTGGCTCTGGCTATCGGCTAAAGGAGTGTCCATGCCATGGAAATATGAAGCCTTCATGGACTCGAGCCTTGAACCAGGAACTCCCACCCTACATATCCCCTAATCCTTGAATCCCACGTTCCTGTCCTCACTAATAAGGTCTCCACATTCACCGTTCGCACACACCCCAATTCATTCGAAAATGAGGCCGGGCAGCAATCCGCACTGGCATCTTGACAAAACCATCTGCTCCCCGCTGCCTTCGTCCTTGTCACGCATCACTCACGGATGGTTCAGGCTTTGTCGGGAGGTGTCGGCGGTCTGTTAAGGTGCAGGCTGTTTGGATGGATGTGCGAGACTTGCATGTAAGATCTTGTAAGGCTCATTTCACCAAGAAAGCCTCTTGGTGCTCAGATGACGGCACTGGAAACCAGAAGTCGAAGAACTTGTCATTCAGACGAAATACACGCATTCAGAACCTATATCGCAACTCAGAACCACAACAATCCTTCGGTCGTCATCGCTATGCCACGAAATCGCAAATAAAACCCCGACCGCCGTAGCTTCCTTCGCTATCCCTACACCCGAGAAATGTCTCCAACTCTCAGACCCTTAAACCATCGTTTCCCACACCCTTACACTCCAAACCCCAGCACCCAAAAAACGTTAACCGTTATTCTTCATCCCGCACGACCGTTTGATGCTTTCCGCCCCGACTTAAAGTGCACGATCGCGGGTTGGACTGGGAAGGCAGAGCCCTGAAGAAGACATCTAAAATCGGAACTGGGTTTCAGGATTTGGGGTTCTTGTGGTAAGGTGTTTGTCTTGGCAAATGCCGTGGTGAAGGCTCCGTGCGTGCTTGTGGTAAGGTTTTAAAATTTGTCTTGGCAAATGCCGTGGTGAAGGCTTCGCGGGTGCTTGTGGTAAGGTTCTTGTCTTGGTAAATGCCGTGGTGAAGGCTCCGCGGGTGCTTGTTGTCAGGTTTTTGTCTTGGCAAATGCCGTGGTGAAGGCTCCAAGGGTGCCTGTGGCAAGGTTTTAAAACTTGTCTTGGCAAAAGCCGCGGTGAAGGCTCCGTGGGTACTTGTGGAAAGGTTTTCGTCTTGGCAAATGCCTTGGTGATGGCTTCGCGGGTGCTTGTGGTAAGGTGTTTGTCTTGGCAAATGCCGTGGCTGCTTGTGCTAAGGCTTTTGTGGTGAGGGCTCCGCGGGTGCTTGTGGTAAGGTTTAGGTCTTGGCACTTGCCGTGGTGAAGGCTCCGCGGGTGCTTGTGCTAAGGTGTTTGTCTTGGCAAATGCCATGGTGAAGGCTCCGCGGGCGGTTGTGGTCAGGTTTTTGTCTTGGCAAATGCTGCGGTGAAGGCTCCGTGGGTGCTTGTGGTAAGGTTTTTGTCCTGGCCAATGCCGTCGCGAGTGCTCCGCGGGTGCTCGTGGTAAGGCTTTTGTCTCGGCAAGTGCCTCGGTCATGGCTTCGCGGGTGCTTGTGGTAAAGGTTTTTGTCTTGGCAAATGCCGTGGTGAAGGCTTCGCGGGTGCGTCTGCTTGTGGCCTCCTGTATGATATACACGCTCTTGTGCTGCTTGGCTTTGACATGGCCGCCTTCCTCCGTGGTGGCCCATGATAACATACCTTCACAGATCTGTCCCTGTGAGTCTCCTGGATGTGACCAGCCACGTCGGCAGCTCGCTGCAGGTGTCCTCTGTTTGCTGTAGGGTTCGGGGAGTTTAGGGGTTTAAGGTTCAGAGTTTAGGGCCCAACCTTACGGTTTATAGGTTAGGAGGCTCAAGCTTTAGGGTTAAGCGGCGTCTTTTTGAGACATGGCAGGTTGCAAGGGAAAGGTAAGTCCAGGTATCTTCGACATTCCACTGTAGCACGCGGAACCTCACCAGGGACCCGAAGAAGGGAACCAGTTTATTCATGGGCCCGACCAGCTTTATTAGACTTCTTCTGAGACAGGCGCGCCTTCAAGATATCCATGCGCAAATTGATGTGCTCAATCTCTTGGGGCCCTAGCTACAGAAAACCCTGTAATCCTTGAAACCTACTACGTCACAGAGGGAAACCCTGAACTTTCAACGGCACGAAGCCCCAATGCTCGGTAAAATCCTGACGCCACGAAATGATGAGTCTTTCCCAGCCCTTGAAAGAATCCAAAAACCCCTCACACTCAAAGGGACACCTCACATCCAAGCCGCCTCACCCCTACACCGATGTCGAGCCCAAAGCATCTGTACATTGCACTTACAAGTAACTATACTTACTGAGAGCAGGCGGCCTCCAACTGTCTCACTAGAGCTATGGAGGCTAGGGAACCGCGAAGCCTTTCTTGTGATAGGAGTTTTCGAATATGATTAGTTTTGAATCCTATGTAAAATAAGCATCCGACGACTCCGACGACCCGACACTGGAAAGCGGGGCAAGCCCAAACATTGCGGAAGAACGACACGGAGCTACCGGAATCGCCGGACATTACCATCTCTGATACAGGCAATGTTCATCCAAGGTTCCGAAGTGTGCAAAAAGTCTTAAACCCCCCCCACTGCCTCTGTATGTCAAGCCTACATCGCCTCAGAGCTCTTGGGAGCACTCTTCGCAACACAGCCGCGGGTCTGGCATTTACAGGTTTATAGGGTTCAGGCTTCGTTTAGGCTTTATAGGCAACCGGAGGAAACCTTCAGGATTTATGGCGGTATAGCTCAGTGGTTCTGTGGGTGCAAGAATGCCGCTTACACCTTCCAAGCTGGAGCCCAAATCTGTTTGTGGCCTGCTTTATGATATACACGCTCTTGTGCTGCTTGGCTTTGACATGGCCGCCTTCCTCCCTTCGTGGCCCTTGATCACATACCTTCACAGATCTGTCCGTGTGAGTCTCCTGGATGTGACCAGCCACATCGGCAGCTCGCCGAAGGTGTCCTCTCTTTGCTTTAGGGTTCGGGGAGTTTAGGGGTTTAGGGCTCAGAGTTTAGGGCCTTAAGGTTTATCGGTTATAGGAGGCTCAAGCTTTAGGGTTAGGCGTCTTCCGTTTGAGACCTGGCAGGTTGCAAGACAAAGCTTAGCCCAGGTATCTTCGACGTTCCAGGGTACCACGTGGAACCTCGCCAGGTTAAAGGCCCACTCAAAAAGGGTACTAGCACGGGAACCTCAGCAGGGAAGAAGAGAACCAATTTCTTCATGGCCCCAACTAGCTTTGTAAAACTTCTTCCAAGACAGGCGTGGATTCAAGATATCCATGCACAAATGCAGTAAATCAAGCTTGTTGTGCTCAATCTCTTGGCGCCCTAACCCTACTACCTCACAAAGGGAACCCCTGAACATGTCAAAAGCGCGATGCCCCAATGCTCGGCAAAATCCTGAAGCCACGAAATGATGAGTCATTCCCCAGCCCTTGAAAGAATCCAAAAACCCCCTCACCCTCAAAGGGACACCTCACATCCAAGCCGCCTCAACCCTACACCGATGTCGAGCCCAAAGCAAGACTGCTCCCGCACTCTATAGCCCTAGACTTTTCAGGTTGCGATTATTCTGGGCTGATCGCAAAGCCTCCTTTGTTCGAAACTCCCATCGCTCTTGCGATTACTAGGGCTACCAATAAGTCAACCCGGACCCGCAAAAACCTGACCTTCTCTGGCCATGACTCGCCTGCATTCGAGACTCGCACCTCCCAGCATAGAGTTTCGGCCTTAGGGTTTTACAACTTTGGATTTAGGTTTCAAGGGTGGGAGGCCAACCATTACATCCAAAGCGCGATGGGCATGCTGGGAAAGCAAGGGCGGAATTGGCTGGAAAGAGGCCAACATAAAGACTTTCGGGCTCAACGATGCCAGAAAACTGTGCAAGGACAATACCAGATCAGGACATCAGTAGGTAGCTAATTTAGTACTGTGATGCTTCCATGTTGGGTTGCCTCTCGTGTGCTTCGACATGGCCAACCTGTGCAAAGTGGCGTGCCTTCACGAAATCAGGCAGGAAATTGAGGGGGATGTCGTGCCAAATCAGAACCTCCACACAAAGGGCAATCGAGCAGTGCGACATCCCGTTGCGTTTGCTGATTCTTTATGGCCATGATATCCTGCCAGCATGCATGGACCTGACTCGCGCAGTGATGTTGATCGAGCACCCATCTCTATCGCATCTGTTTCCTCGAGAATTATCAGCATCATGCGGCCGACCCTGAACGGATGTGTGGTAATGGAACAGAACACAAATTGAAGGCAGGCCGCCTGGCTACGTTTGTGTACTGGCAGCTACTAGCATGGTGCAGAGGCAGGGTGGATGCCAGTGGCTTCTGCATGGCAGTCTCACACCGTCGCAAGCCCCCAAGGCTAACTCTGCGACGAATCTGCTTGAATCCTCAAGATTTGCCAGGACTGGAACTGAATACATCATGTATCACTAAAATTGAATTTTGCATGGGCCAGCCGTACAGTGGCTGTGCCGCTTGGAAGACTGAGCCCGTGCACATTCACTCATGCTCCGCCAGCAGTGACGACCGCAAAGGAGCTGCACGAAGGGACCGGAGAAGGGGTTTCCGCATCCGGGTCACGGGTGACAAAAGGGCTGCCAGCCTTGCTACCAGCCTGCCCAAACTTGCCGCGACGCGGCTGCGCGGCCTTCTTGAGCACCACTGTGAGCACCCCGTTCTCGAATGTGGCCTCTTCCGGACTAAGCTCGAAGCGGCCTTCG